AAGATGAACTTGGGTGCATTTAGTTGGGCAGTGTGGAGTCAGAATTGAATCAGACACATAGTCCCTGCCTCAGTTGCTCACATTCCAGTGGGAAGGCTGACTCTCCAACAAAATCAGTTCTACAGTTAAGAAAGCTGTAGGAACAAGGTCCAACTCAAGCACAAAGAGGAAACAGAGAAGGTATATCAGTCAGCTACTGCCACTGCCCTGCTGTGTAATGAAAGGTCCCTTAGTTCAATGGCATAAGCACTTATTTCTGGCTCACGTGTCTGCAGATATTTTGGGGCAGCCTCACTGATTTCAGCTGGACCTGGCTAGGTTGGCTCCTGGGCATGGGTTTGGTTGAGGTCATGGGCTACCCAGAGGGAAGCTCTGCAGAAGCACAGGAGGGTGAGCTGTGCCGCAAGCCCATGTCAAGGCTTTGCTCAGGTCATGTCTCCAAACATCTCATTGGCCAAAGCAAGTCAACAGCAGAGCCCAAGAGCAAAGGGGCCTGAAGGCAGCTGTCTGGCCTGCCATAAAATCTGCATGTGCCTGGTGTCTGGGTTTGGGTGTCAAGCAAATGGGGGGCAGCCAGAGTGGTAGACAGGAAATCTTTTAAAAAAGGGGGGGTGGGCAGGGTCTGGAGGTATTACTCCTCCCACAGTGGGAGGGGAGGGAAGTATTTGCCAATCAATCATCCAAACCTCCCAGAAGGCTCCACAGAGGAGGTGTTATTTGACACAGAGGAGGTATCATTTGAAGAAGCTGGATTTTTCTAAGTGAAGATGGGATAAGGTGCTGCTGTAAAGGGGTGAAGTGGGGGGGAGGGCTGTTAGGGTAGTCGGGGGGGTCATAGAGGTCCCTTGGGCAGAAGCCTGGCATGTCTCTTCTTTGAACATGGTACTCTCTTGGCCCCCCACCCCATTTTCTTTATTTCCAAATTCTAAAACTTCAACTATGTGTCACCAAGTACAAGTTCAAGACTCGGTTTTTGAGCAAGTAATCATATTGGAAGGTATAGTGCTTGTCTCTTTTATGTAAGTTTCATTGGGCATAAATCAGCTGATTTTATAGCCCGGTCACCCCCACTTCAGGGTTCAGGTCTCCAACCTTGCAGCCTGGCAGCTGCACCCCTATGGTTGTGACCAGTTCAGCTTTTTCTGAAAGGACTTTTTGATGACAGAGTTGAGACAGCCAAGGGGTGAATGAAAATAACTCAGGAATGGAAAACCAGTTCTACCAGGACAGGCATTGAGCAGGGAATCCATGCACACACCAGAATCGAGGCCGAACAATCATGGGAACGATGCTTACAGGACAGGATGTAAGTAGTATAAACCTTGACAATGTAAAACTGCAAACTCACAAAATCTGGGAGGAGGGGGAAAGAGCTAGGAAATGGTGGTGAGCTCATTTCCTTACTCTAATCGCAGGTCGTCAAGAGATGCCATCTACAGCTGAAACGTGTTGAAAGAATGAGTGCAGCTGCTTAATATTTTTCTTTCTTTTAGAGGAATAATTTAGAAACATAAGCTGCAGCATCATTATTTGCAGCTTGGCAATTTCTTTAGTTACATTTAGGTTACCTTTTGTTCTGTTATATTTAGATACTTTTTCTAAAAAGAGCATGTGTTGTATGAGCCCATTTTTGTAAAAATTTCCAACCACCTACCTGTCCTTTTCTCTGAATATGTGTGTAGAGAGATGTCTCCATTGGCATTCTCTGGGTGTCGGCTGTGATTATTTCTGGGGGTGCTGGGTTTCTGGACCACTTGAAGATCTTGTTTTTGGTACTCTTCAGTTTTACTTGAATTTCTTATAATAAGCATGTACTATTATTATAAAAGCAAAGCTGCTTCTTGAAAAATTATATTATAAAAATTACATTAAAAATTATATTTAAAAAATTATGTTATATTATAAAATTAATTATATTTCTGGAAAAGAGAAAAAATGTGCTCGTTTGCCAGGCCCCCATCTCACTATTGCAGCGCTCCCACCCCACAGAGACTGGGCCTGGCCCGTGGGGATCACCCTGAGGGGCTGCTGCTTGGGCTGCTCTGCAGTTCATTTCGATGGGGGTGGGGGAGGTAGGGGGGTGGTTAGGGTTGGGGGGCGGCAGGGAGAAGAGGGGGGAAGGTGCGCATGGGAGGGAAAGTTGCTGGCCAGACAGATAGACACCTCAGGATGCACTTGTGAGCCTTGGCCATCAGGAGCTATGGCAGGTGGGGAGGCCCCAGGCATAGGGTCAGGAGGCCCTGGAGTCAGGCCCACCTGGGTTCAGGGCCTTGTGCCTCCACCATTTAGTTGGGTGACCCTGAGCCCCTCTAGCCTGTTTCCTCATCTGTAAATGAAAGTCACCCTTGCCCTGCCTTATTTTCAGGTTGCTGTAAGGGACCTCTGACGTGCAGCATCTGGTAGTCAGTAGGGATACCTAAGGATACTTATCACACTATCATCATAGGATTCCACTCTAACCAACCCCACTGCCAACCCAGTCTAAAGGTTAAGGTTTGAGAGGATCAGGTGGCTCTATCTGACCATTTCTGGGTCCTAAGAGCCACTCTTACTGTCTCAGCTCCATCTAGTGTCCACCTCAGGACACAGCCACATGTAACTGGCGTATTGTAAACCCGTATTTCCATACTTGCATACAGTATGGCACTCATTAAGCAAGGAGGACCAAAATAAGATCAGTTTAAAACATTCCTCCCAGTACTAAGACTTGGTATTTCAAAGCAAGTATTACCCAAGTTCAGTATTTCTAACTTGTGACATCCTGTCTTTGAGAGGATGGCAGATTCATGCAACAAATGATAGTTAAATATTTATAATAATTGACATTTATGGAGTGTTTACAATGTGCTGGGCACAGTTCTAAGTGCTTGAACTGTGGGAGCTCATTTCGCCCTCACAACACTATGAAATGGAGATAATTTTTGTCCCATTTTATAGGTGAGGACACCGAGGCACAGAGAGGTTAAGTAGAATTTGTCACCCCGCTAGTTTCTGAGGGGTGGGAGAGGCTGCCCGGGGGCAGGGTGAGGAGGAAGCAGGATGAGAGGCCACCGCAAGCCAGGGAGGGCGAGCGGGGCCTGAGGCAGCCCGGCGGGACTCAGCCTGCGTTTGGGAGGCAAAGGAGGTGGCGTGTGGAAAAGAGAGGCTCATTCTCCAGCTTGAGCATCGGGGTGGAAGCTGCAACCCCAAGAGATGGAGGGAGTACAGCACGAACAGATGGAAAATATTTCTACGTGCCAGGCACTGGAGATGTAGAATTCAAGTTGAGGGCCCCTGTCCCTACAAGAGCTCAGAGCCCTGTGGGGAAGGCGACCTCAAAGGGTGACTGAACACTCGCAGGTGTACACAGATATACAAAGGACAAGCAGGAGGTGCTGCGGGGTGGGGTGGGAATGACAGGTGCAGATGGGGGCTGAGTGTGGTCATCAGCTTGGACTGGATGAGGTGGCCTGGGCAGTTGACCCAAAGAAGAAGAGATGGTGGAGAAGGAAGATGCACATAGGAGCTCAGAACAAGAAAAGTCTTACTGGAGCTGAAGAGAAGATTTGGGGGGAAGGGAGTGACCAAAGTGCTTAAATGTCGGGGCAGGGTCAAGCGGGATGGGGACCAGAAGTGGACAGGGTTGGACCAAGCCAGGAGGAGAGTCTGGATGTCTCCGGGCAGAGGGAGTGTGCAGATGCGGGCGTGGACGGGAGGGCAGGAAGGACACAGGGCTGTGGTGCGAGGGGAAGCTGGGCTGAGGGGCTGTTTTCTGCTTGTTTTCAGGAAGGAGGAGACCAAGTCATATTGGCAGGCTGATGGGAAGAGCCCCTGGAGAGAGCGATGTAGAAGCGTGGGCGAAGGCAGCGAGGCCCTGGAGAAGGGTGGCATCGGTGGCACAGGGAAGCGTGAGGACCCAGGGCAGGCGGAGGGGCCGGAGGGCAGGGCAAGTTCATGGGGGAAGGGATGGAATGGGAGCCAGGTGGGATGCTGAGGCAGCTGGTCCCGGTGGCCTGGAATTGCTGGAGCGGAGAGGCCTCTGCGAGGTCCGAGAAGAGGACGCAGGTGCCCCCGGGTGGCAGGAGAGGACAGAGTCAGTGCACGGTGTGGGGTTGCTGGGTGTTTCTGGCAGGAGGAGGCCAGGTTCGACCCTTCTCCACACGCTGCCCCGTCGCCTCCCAAACGCAGGCTGAGTCCCGCCGGGCTGCCTCAGGCCCCGCTCGCCCTCCCTGGCTTGCGGTGGCCTCTCATCCTGCTTCCTCCTCACCCTGCCCCCGGGCAGCCTCTCCCACCCCTCAGAAACTAGAGGGGTGACAAATTCTACTTAACCTCTCTGTGCCTCGGTGTCCTCACCTATAAAATGGGACAAGCATCTCATTTCATAGTGTTGTGAGGGTGAAATGAGCTCCCACAGTTCAAGCACTTAGAACTGTGCCCAGCACATAGTAAACACATATCGTGCCAGGTCAGAGCAGGAGGCCACTGACCCGTGGACCAGGCCAAGAAGGAAGGGAGGGAAGCCAGGAGAGGACTGGCAGGCTGAGAGAAGGGACAGAATTCTCAGTGGGGTCCAGAGCAGAAATGGGGCTCTGGAAGTTAGGGTCAGAGACGGGACAGAGTATGCTTTCAGGAGACAGTTACCTTTATGACAAGTGCTGAGTGTGGCCGAGGCTGAGACTCTGAAAGAAGCTCAAGGCTGTTTTCTGTGAACCCTGCTGGGACTGGGGACAGCAAGACAAGGAGAGGGTAAAGGCCAGGCTGGGACGGAGCAGCTAGGGGAGGAAGAGGGAGGAGCAGATGTCCGGAAGGGGTGCTGGCAGTGGGAGGCCTTGGCATCCACTTTCAAAGGAACCGTGCGCCCTACATGTGTAATGAAGAACGCTTGACAAGTTGGCTGGTGCAGGACTGCCTGGCGAAGGCCCAGCAATCCATAACTATAGGCTGAGCCGTGCAGGAGGCAGTGAGAGAGGCTTTCCATCAACGTGCCTCACCTGGGGCTAAAGAAAAACACCAAATGCCGATACCACCTTATTGTGCTGCTTTTAATTAAGAAAGATGTAAAATGATGCATTATAAAACTTGGAAGCGACTTTATACAAATTCCAATCTTTAAATATTGTTTAACAAGGGGCCCTGGGAGTTAGGATACTGGCAGGAAGTCTGATTAGTTGCCGTGATGGTCCCATCCTCGAAGCAATGGAAACACACTTGGAACCACCTGTGCATAAATCAGAAGCGCCAAGGACAGCCAGAATGTCTTCAAATACACATGTGGACTCGGACACACAACATCTCAGCTCAGGGAATATACAGTAGACTTAGGAGAAATGGAAGACAAAGGAGAATTCATGTTGATCTTGACATGATCAAGAAAAATTTCTCCTAACACTCTGTGTCCTAAAAACCACAACCATACAGAAAGAAAAAATGGAAACACAGATAGGTTTTTAGTTCTATGTTGTTTAACTGCTGGTAAATGAGAGTATACAACAATTGATTTCTTGTGGCAAAACTAAATACTGAAAAATAGTTTACTCTGAAGAATGTAGCCACTTCAAACGCTGAGGACCATGACTGGTTTGTTACAAAGGCAGCAACGTGTAGGCTTACACGCTGAAGGTCAGGGTGACACTGTCTATGGGGTGTTCTTGACATTGTCTAGGCAGAGTAGGCTGTGTAATGCTGAAAAGCTTTTCACACGAAAAGACTGACTCATAGACCTAAGGACAAATTTAATTCAGTGCTAACCCACATTGTCATCATTATACTGCCCCAAACAAATCACTTGCTCTGGAAGCCTCTGTTTCCACAAGTCACCTGGAGAATGCCCCGGGGCAGTGCAATTCATTGAGTAGGTCTGGGGTCTCCAGATGTAAGGCAGGGCTGCCGCGCAGAGTGAACTGGGACCCCGACACGATGATCCCCACAGGTAAGGCACTATGCAAAGAGTGGATTATGCTGGGACCTCCGTTTTTCAAAAAAACTAAACTCTTACATCAGCACCACTTCCTGCCTGAAAGGCGAGGTCAGATTTCGGGGGCCTGTGACACAGAAGCTGGCTTCTTTAAGCACACTGGGGTGCTGGATAGCATTACAATGAAAGGCCCTTTTACCTTAACAAAAAATCACCCCCTCTGAGGTCTGAAGCATAAGGGGATCTGAAAGTTTAAGTGGGAATAAGGCTTGCAAGGGGAGGTCAACAGCTCCTTCCCGAGCCAGGACTCAGCAGAGGAGGACAGGAGGATGGGGTAAGCGTGAAAAAGAAACACTTGGATTCAGAGGAAGGAGAGTGGCGCACCATGAGGGTCATTTGTAGGATCAGAGGTAAGGCTCTGCAGACAGGAGAGAAATGGGATGAGGTCTGGAGAGGCGAAGCAGCCCAGAATCACGTGGCAAAGACTCCTCATGCCACAAGGAAAAGATTCAGACCTTCACTGTGCAGTCTTGCTTCTCTGGGTGGTAGCTAACCACCACCTCTCAGTGACATCCCTGGGCCTCCTGAAAGGGCAGTGACTGTCCAAGCAAATGCTCTGGGTCCTTTCGTCTCCTCTTTCAGGGTTCTCCTACTCCCTCCCCTGTCTTCTCATTGCCTAGACTCCTCCTGGGGCAGCTCTGTGGGCATCCTCCCCTTTGCCCCCTTCATACCTTCCATCAGGCTCCTGTTCAGGGGCTGGCTTAGCCTGAGTCAGAGGAGGCAGGCTGTGGGGGAAATGTGGTCAAACTATTTTATGAAAAGGTATTAATGAATAACGATGGTTCCACGAATTAGACCTTCATTTTACTATAAACTGTTTCTTCAGCCTCAAAGAATGAATCTCTATTTAAAACAACTTAGAGTGAAACGTGGATCTGAGAGGGATGACCTTTTGAGGCAGGGAATTTGCCAGGACCCTGCAGGTGCCAGTACTTGGGTGACCTTAGTCTGCTCAGCCTTTCTGGATGCACTCAGAAAACAATTCCCACCTACCTGCTACAGAGCACACCCCCGAGGGGAATGGGGTGCCAGACTAATCCTGGATTTGGTCACCTAGTGTTAAAAGCAAATTAAAGTGCATGCTTAACTTAACCATAGGCACAAGTGTTAGAAGAGCTCAAGTTCTGAGAAGATTTGGCAGGGAATGGGGAGAGCTACAGATTAGACTGCCTCACAGCGAGGCAGATTCATTCATTCACTCGACATGCAGCTATGCAACACTTACACCATGCCAGGCACTTGTTAGGTACTAGGGGTTCAGTGATGAATAAGGCACAGTCCCTGCCCTCAGGAGCTTATGGCTAGTGGGATTACATTAAACTCCCTATCAACAGAGAAACCGCTCTGGGGAGGGACAGGGAAGTTCAGTTGCTGGGTGGGTCTGATCAGGACCTCTGGCAGCTCCCACCAGCTGGTCTGTACGAGGGAGGTCTGTACTTGGCCGGAGTTTGTCTGGAGGACATTGTGTCTGCGAAATACCTGCAGTCCTCCTCTTCCCCAGCCACCGAGAAAGAGCACTGTTCTCTTCAGGCTCTTCCACCACCAGGGACTTTTTTCAGTGATGGAATAAAATAGTCTTCCTTTTCCTTCTGTCCATAAGGAAAAGGTGTACTGAAGCAGCAGAAAAGAGGTTACAAACTGGGAGAAAACAAATAGCACTGTTTGCCTAACTCGAGCCGGTCTTTGAACTTGTGGCAAATCATCTTCTTCATATTACGATTAAGGCACCTGGGAGAGCCACCACTCTCCGCTAAACCCTGGAATGTCCACCAGCTGGAGGGTACCTGCCACGAGAGTCAGATCAGAGAAGGCATCGTGGTGCTCTGGTGCTGCTGCTGGACACTGAGTTGGCCCTGCATGCCCACGGCCCTGACTGCCCCACTCCAGGTCCTGGCTTCCGTGTTGACTGAGATCACTGGTTCTGGCACTACAGAATGCTACTGAGGCCTCCTGCTGCACAATACTTTCTACTTCTACACACTGACTGACTAGGTGGCCAGTACAAAGATGAGCTTTCCAGTTCACTGGAAGCTCCTAAGCAGCCTGCCTGCAGCAGAACTGGCGCTGCAGGCCTGAGGGACAGTACATAGCTCTGTGGTCTGGAAAAAAGCCATAGCATCTGAGAGAGGACCTCATCTGCAAGCTTGGGGCCGTGGAATGGGTTCCTTCCGTGTTGAGATAACTAAAGCCTGGGGTGGTTAGCTGGCTTCATTCTATTCTGTTCTATTCTGGCTGTTTCAGAAAGAAATTCTCCTGTTCATTAAATTCTGTTCACAGTCGGTCAGCTCGAAACGTCTCTTCCACAGAGGGGTCAAGCAGGCCCATGCTGGAGTCACTTAACATGTTGAGTCCATCCAGGCTCAGGGGTTCAATCTGGAGTTCCTCTTCCAGGGGGAACGGAGTGTCCATGCTCAGGCCGACCTCGGGCATGCCTGCCAGTGCACTGCTGAGGTCCTTGAACAGGGTGGTGCTTGAGTCTTCTGCAAGGAGTAGTGAGGAGGAAACAGTGCCGATTAAGAGGCATGAGGGCCCCAGGCTACTAACGCACAGCTACCCCCATTATCTTCCCAACCAGGACAGTGAGCACCCATGCATCCACCATCCCCAGCCCCACAGCTCTGTCCTAGAATCCACGTTCTTTTCACTCAGTTCCACAACTCCCAATTTTTGCGGGTTTTCTCCCTTTGAACAGTTGTCAATCATCTAAGAGTAAATAGTTCAGAACAGGCTTTGACCTCTGGGCCCCTTCCTCCCTGCCTCATGGGCTCTGGGGCTGGACCCCCACATCTCGAAAGTAAAGTTGAGCTGGGGACTTCCACTTTCGCTTTACATAATGTTACGCTGTTTAAACCACCTTACAGAGGTATCTGTAAAAACACAGCAGGACAGAAACAGTAAAGAGGTTGAGGGTGGCCCACACTCACCTGTCAGAACGGTGTTTGGGAAATTCCCACTGTTGGAATACAGGTTTGGTCTCAAATGAAATGAATCCTGCAGTTCTCGATGACCTTGCTGCACCAGGGGCACCTGGAAGCATAGAAGGTCACGCTGTGAGGAATGACCCCTGCTTCTCAGGAGTGAGTGAGTTGTGCATTATGCTCCCAGAGCCAAACCAGACGCGCCAACTGCCTTCTAGTCCCTCCCTTCTAGGGTGCCAGAGTGCTCTGCTGTTGTGACAACCCACGCAGGATAACCTTGTCAGGAAGGCTGGCGCTGAGGTGGGAGACGGGGCCCGAAGGTCCACAGTGTGATCGGCTTTTCCCCATCCACACACTGCCCAGACCACCAGGCCATCCCAGAGACGCCAACGGTTGGGATTTCTGTTGCCCTTTGGGTTGTAGACATCCCTCCTCCTCAGCCTCGCTGACGCTCTTGCAAACTACCATCTGTGGGAACCCCTCAAAGGCTCCACCTGTAACCAAGGAAGCAATGGACTCTTTTCCTCTTTGATTTCTAGAAAAATGACAAAGTGGGAGCCTTTCCTTTTCACTCTCTGACGGAGCAACCTCAGGCAACCTCAGTCTCTCTATGATAAAACCTCTACGGGGACTGGTTAGAATTGGGGCCTATTTTAGGTGCCTTTTCTGAAATTAATTTTCCAAACCATTTTTTTTTAAATATCTCAAAAGAAGTTGTTTCCATCATTTTCCAGGAAGACACTGATTCTCACTGCGTAAAATGGGCTCTTTAGAAAACAGGGAGGCAAGGACTATTGGTTCTTACTACAAGGCTTCACCGTAGAAAATAGCTATCTTTATTAATTTTATTATTATTAAGTTCTAGAAACTGCTCGACTCTTCCTTCACTCCTTCATCCATCCTGAAGCCTAATCCATACGTAATGAACACTGTAAAATCTAGGGATATTGAAAGTGGTCATTGTTAGGGAGAAACTAAAAAGCAAAAGAAAGTAGTTGAATGAAAATATCTTACGGGGGCCGGCCCGGTGGCGCACTGCTACAGTGCGCCGCTTGGGAGTGTGGCGGCGCCCCCGCCGAGGGTTCGGATCCCACATACAGACCGGTTCCCGCTCACTGGCTGAGCGAGGTGCGGGTGCAACACTGAGGGCTGCGATCCCGTTGCCGGTCCCGGTCCGGTACGGGCGCGACACTGAGGGTTGCGATCCGTTGCCGGACATGGAAAAAAGACAAAAAGGAAAAAAAAAAAAAAAGGATGGTGAATGAAAATTTCTGGGGGGGGCCGGCGGGGGGGCCCCCGGCTCCGGTGCGCCGCTTGGGAGTGTGGCGGCGCCCCCGCCGAGGGTTCGGATCCCACATACAGACCGGTTCCCGCTCACTGGCTGAGCGAGGTGCGGGTGCAACACTGAGGGCTGCGATCCCGTTGCCGGTCCCGGTCCGGTACGGGCGCGACACTGAGGGTTGCGATCCGTTGCCGGACATGGAAAAAAGACAAAAAGGAAAAAAAAAAAAAAAGGAAAAAAAAAAAAAAAGGAAAAAAAAAAAAAAAGGAAAAAAAAAAAAAAAGGAAAAAAAAAAAAAAAGGAAAAAAAAAAAAAAAGGAAAAAAAAAAAAAAAGGAAAAAAAAAAAAAAAGGAAAAAAAAAAAAAAAAAGAAAGAAAAAGAAAATATCTTACGGAAGGAACTCCCCTTCCCCCAGATAGAGCTCTCCCAGGAGGCCACACACTGCTGGGAGCCCCAACCAGGCCTGCAGGCAAAACATTGCACCACTTTCTAATTCCACTACTGGGACCAGGCACTGCCTCAGCCCCACCCCCATGCCTCAGTTTCCTCAATATGAGGGGATTGATTAGTTGGTTGCTATGGTACCTTCCAGTATTAATAACTCTATAATTTTATGACTAGACTGTCATCAAGTCTTCTACCACTTGTTCAAACAGTTCTTCTGCTGAAGCCTGACATTTAACAAGGCCACTAGCACCAGTATTTTAGGGCTAGGGAAGATTCAAGTCTCTCCTAGCCACAGAACACACCTGAAACAAGGCACGTGGAGTATCTAGTCTACTTGGTGTGGGCTCTACACATTGAACAGCCTAAATGGTGCAGTTTATACACCAAGGAAGGGGACGGCAGGGGGCAATCACATACCTGCTGAGGAAAGGTTGGGCCTAGCCTCATGGACTGCTGGTCAAAGCCCACATCTGGGAAGAAGTTGGTCAAAGATGAGCCCTTCAGGGAACAAAGAGGTGATAATTTAGATTGGATCTCAGAACAAAAGAAGCATTTTCTCCTCACTGATGTTCCTACTAGGACCTACCTGGGCTGTGAGAAGTTGGAAATCTGACTGTGGCAGTGAAGTGGCGGCCTGGCGCTGCTGATGAGGGGCCTCCTGGGCATGGGTCTGCTGTAGGAGAGGATGGGGGAGCTCCTGCGACGTGGGGTAAGGGGGTGGTGGAGACACTTGGGCTTGAGCTTCTGTAGGCAGAAAGGACAGCGGGCTTCGATCTGAGGACACCATCTGTAAAACAAACACACAAAGCCACTAATTAGCTTCTGAGATTCTAGTAGTAAGTACTTTAGGATTAGGAAATGTCAAAGTGAGAGAGAAGCCTGAGATTTTTCTCACCGTGGTATTCTGCACAATGCCTGAGAAGCCTGTTTCTGCTCCTTCAGTGTACATCTCAAATCTCACTTCCCCACAAAGCATTTCCCATTCAATAACAATTTCTATTGTTTTAAAACAATGAAACAAGAAAACAACCAATTTAAGCAATTTCCTCAGTTTTCTCAATAAAAAATCATGTTTTTTTTCTTTTTTTTTTTAACACCACGACTTCTGGTTAAAGACAAAAGATTGAAAAAGGCACTTAACTTTGCTATCTCCCAAAGCCCTACTAAAACAAGACACTAAAACAACATTAAACAATGATAAACATTAACAGACAACACCAAGACAATAATAAATAATGCTAAAATGATAATAAACAACACGAGAACAAAGATAATGAGAGACGAAAACAGCAACAGAATCTGGAAAATGAGAAGCAGATGGACAAGTGGTAACAAGCTTAGCAGAGCTGAGAAAGCCAAACGCTCAGCTGGCAGTGGGAAACCCAAGAGGCAATCTGATTTACATCACCAAATCCCTAAACGGCTCCAGAACCGGGGACAGCAGGGAGCAGGGGTGAAACTAAAATCAGGAGGATCTGGTCACAGTACCTGTGCGGGTAGCTGGACCTTCAGAGCTGGTGTCTTGCTGGTACTGCTGTGCCACCGCCCCAACCTCCCACACCTGCCAGGACACTGGAGGGTTGTACTCTGGAGAGAGTAAAACTAAGGGTCCTTAGACAGGGTCTTTGAACCCTGGGAGGTGAGGCACTCTGCTGAAGACACAGGGTTTATGAGAAATTTCATTATCGAATCTTGAGATCTCCACCTTTCTTTCCCAATTTGGCTCTCAACATGCTGGAATCCAAGCATATGTGCAGGTGCAAGATTGGAATAGTGTCCTTCAGGGAGTCTGACCAGCCCAGGAGAAAATCATGAAACTTAAAGACATCAGAAGTTCCCCAAGGAAATGGCCAAGCTAGATCATTCTACAATGAAGGCCACACTCAACAAGCCCACCCATGTACATAGAGCCGCCAGTCAGCTTTCTAGTGTCCTGTTCTTAAATATGAGCAGAGCACCAAGGGAAGCATCTAACATGAAAGTCAGACACCAAAGCAGACATACAGAGAATAGAAACTTGGAAAGATCCATGCAGGAAGAAGTAGTACTGAAAAAACAAAATCATCATTATCATATTTAGGCTATTAAAAAATCCTTATCTGTTGGAGTACATGTTGAAATATTTCAATATGTATCTCTATATACTTTTTTTTTTTAAAGTAGGGATATGCATGAAAAAAGGTAACAACAGGGTTGATAATTACTGAGGCCGGATGATGGGTATAGAAGGATTAATTATATTATGTTCTCTACTTTTATGCAATTTGGAAAAATTCTATTATAAAAAATAAAAATAAAGGAAATTGGAACAAAAACTACCACTAAAAACCTCAGAGAGATAAAAGATGATATTGCATCCATGGAATAAGTATGATGCTATAAATGAGGAACATTTAGAGACATTTAAAAATCAAAGGAAGAATGAAAAACTCAACAGAAGGGTTGGAAGATAGTTGAGAAACTCTTCCAGAAAGCAGAGCAAATTAAAAAAAAAAAAAAAAAAGAGGAGAGGGAAAAAAATAAGGTCAGTATAGGAAAAGTCCAGGATGTCCAACATTCATGATAGAAATTTCTGAAAGAGAGAACAGAGAAAATTGAAGAGAAGAAATCACTGAAGAAATAAAAAAAATTTCCCAGAAATGAAGGATACAAGTTTCCAGACTGATGGAATCCTCCAATTATCCAGACTTATGTCAAGTCACCTTATCTTGAAGTTACAGAACACTGGAGATAAAAAGACACTACAAACCTCCCAAGGAAGATAAAGGTTTCATTCCAAGTATTAAGAATCTGAATGGGGGCCGGCCCGTGGCTCACTCGGTAGAGTGTGGTGCTGACAACACCAAGGCCCCGGGTTCGGATCCCATATAGGGATGGCCGGTTGCTCACTGGCTGAGCGTGGTGCTGACAACACCAAGTCAAGGGTTAAGATCCCCTTACCGGTCATCTTTAAAAAAAAAAAAAAAAAAAAGAATCTGAATGGCATTAGATTCTCAATAGCAACTCTAGACACTAAAAGGCAATGGATCAATACGTTCAAAATTCCAAGAGAAAATTATTTCAAATTTAGAATTCTATATCCAGCTACATTATTAATTACATGGCTGTTAGAATAAAGACATTTTTAAATTATTCAAGGTCACATGCACTCTTTTTCCTATAAAGCTGCTAGAGGATTTGTTTTTAAATCTATTGAGAAGAGATCTACCCAACTTCAATAGTTTGGGACTGAATTAATACAGGTTATATTATACATACAGAGAAAACAGACTAACAAAAAAAGTAGGATATTTATTAACTCCCAGGAGAAAAAGAAAATGTTCATTTTGTTATTTCATAGTATATAAGAGTATTTCAAAAAGTTTGTGGAAAAATGGAACTAAAAGATACATGAGTCTTTCCATGAACTTTTTGAAGACTCCTCATCCTATATAGCTCAGCTCTGACTACATTCCTATAACTATACTATAAAAACACTAAACACGGAGTATTTCTGTAACCAAAATTATATTAAACAAGGAGGGTGTAGGAAATGTATGTGTGTGCATGTGTGTGTGTGTGTATATATGGTGAAGGTTGAGGGAAAGTTGAAGGAGAACGAAATCCGAATCTTCAATGATAGGACGTCATTAGCTAACGCCTAACACCCAAATCTGGAACAAAATAAGCATGAAATAACATGATTATACCAAAGAAATTAGCTGAAATGATTGAAAGTAGCCATCTCTAGGCAGTGAGAAATATGTTTAACAGGAGAGGAGGAGACAGCTGTTATTTCACAACAGGCCCTTTAGAACTATTTGACTTTTTAAAATATGTGCATGAATACCATAGATTTTCTAAAAATCTAAATATTAAACAAGTAAAAGAATGAAACCATCTGAAAGACGCTCTCTACCCAGTCTCCTTAAAATGTAGCTAGAAAGAATACTTTTATATCCCATAAAATAATCTCGTAAAATAAAATTAAAAGCAATCCAGTAACATAAAAAGAAGCATCAAAAAATTTTATGAAATGCCCTCTCATCCTCCCTCCAAAGGGATTACTCACTTAATCAAGATCTCATAGCCAGTAATTGGTAAAGAGTGACTAATGACAAGATCTTCTAGTTCCTTCCATCGTGTTCTGTCAACTCCTCCTTGCTAAATCATTACTCACTTATGGTGAAGTGGTGAGTAGTTAATTATGTTATAATGTATTTAGGGCATGACCAATAGGTTAAAAATATATTCATTGATGATTATGGAAGGGAGAACCACCCTAAGAGTTTAGAATAAAAACAAAGTCAACAAGTCAAAATATGACGTTTCAACCTCTGTATTTCTACAATGGGCTTGTAACCAAAATGTGCCTCTTTCTAAACAGACTTCTTTTAGTCCTTTTATAGAGATAATCCTCTTTATACCTTTATATTTCATGAACAATAAAAGTATTGTTTCTCAAATCTACAGTTCTAATTAGGGAAGAGGTCTAATCCAATATCAAAGGTTTAGCAAAGTATTAAACGTTTTCTTTGGCTTTCCCCTGTGACTTAATGCACTTATAGTCAATAATTGATTTTCCATACTGATTTTAAAATCCTAACCTGGTTTCACTTAGCTATCAGACATTCTGAGTTGCATTCTTTACACCCTACCCTTTTCCCTAATCCCAAATTCATGAGTTACAGTGACTGCAAATTGTGGAATATTTGCTTAAGAGTAATCAACACTGGGCTGGCCCGTGGCTCACTCGGGAGAGTGCGGTGCTGATAACACCAAGGCCACGGGTTCGGATCCCATATAGCGATGGCCGGTTGGCTCACTGGGTGAGCGTGGTGCTGACAACACCAAGTCAAGGGTTAAGATCCCCTTACCAGTCATCTTTAAAAAAAAAAAAAAAAGAGTAATCAACACTGCAAATCTGCTATTAGAAAGCCATTAACGCATTCTGAATCATTCACACTTCTGCTCTCTCTGACTTCACATATAAGAGAGAACTGACTGCACTTGAGACCTCAGGGATGCTTGGTGTAGTAACAGACCTAATACAAAACAGCCCCGAGAAGAAAAGCAATTCCTATGTGCCTCAGTCTGTTTAATTACCTGGGAGGCAGGATATGGATTCAGTGGGCTGGTTGCAGAGAGCTGTCTGCTGAAACCTTGATGTGCTTCAGGGCCAGGAGAAAGCGTGAGAGGGCTGACGGGAGGCTGCCTACGCCGAGAGGGGCCGCTCAGGTTTGTGGTGGAAAGAGACGGGTTGCTAAGGGAAAACAGACGGAGTGAAGGGTGAAGAGCAGATGTGTTGGTAACAGATGTCTGTGGGTGGCTATTTAGGGAAGAGGACAGCGCTGTCTTATTGAGGGTGGCTTGGATGGAGGGGTTACTCCGAGAACTCTGGAGACCTGGAAGACAACAAATTCACAAGTTACTGGTTATAATTTCAGACTAAATCTTTTGTTTCCCAGAGATTAAAGAAAACTTCCTGCTATCCATATATGATGATGATTCTGTAGGTAAAGGATCTCCTGGGCACCTCTTCTGCTGGAAATGCATCAGATGTACCAATGGCAAGGAAAAGATGTACCCACACTAAAAGAGACTATGCCATCAAGAAGAGAATAATTTTTTTCTCCAGAAGGAATGAGAGCAAACTAGGTAAGCAGGGGATAGCAGAGGCAATTGTTCAGTGTGCTCAGCTCCAACCCAAGGAAAGGGCCCTAAGGCTACACTACAAATTCTGTTTCAAGCCTCTGAATGCCTCTGTCCCAAGCACACTGCCTGGATCCTCTACTGCCTTGGAAGAACATCCTTTCACTGAAATCTGTGCCTCTCAGGGAGCCTTTAAATACTCTTAGCACACCAGGGAGTCACAGGATGGGCACTACCCCACATCTCCCAACCCAGGGTCCTTCTCTGTTTTTCAGAGGGCTGGCCAGTTTGCTCAGCTGGCTAGAGTGTGGTGTTATAACACCAAGGTCCAGGGTTCAGATGCCCGAATGGGCCAGCCACCAAAGGGGGGAAAAAAAAATTTAATCCCTGTACTGGTGGTCAGCCAACAAAATAATAAAAACAAAAACAAAAAAATAGTCTCCTGGGAAATTGTTCATCACAGTCTATTTCAATGCAGGAAAAAAGCCGTTTTTGCTGGTGCTTTGTTTGGGAGGAGGGGGCTGAACTGTAGCATGAGCAAGAAAGTTTGGGAAAGGCATTTCCACGGTGCAGCTGCAAGGGCACAAGCTCCGTGAGGCCAGCGACCCTCTCCTATGCCTGCTGGATCCTTGGCAACTGGAATGGGTCCTTAGCATCTTGGCAGCTTCCCTTGGTGAATGACTAATGCTGCTGCTGCCGCTGCTGTGTGTATCTCAACTTGCAGTACCTATGTTTCCAAGTTCAGCACGAAGTTCTTGTGCGAGCAGTTGGGGTGAGCAGAAATATGCGTTGTTTTGTGTTGGTAAAAAAATTAAGTGTTTGATAAAAGTTATGGAAATGAAGAAATGGCACAATCAAGCATTTTGAGTTGGCAAAATTATGTTTAAAAGGTAGGAAGATGTCCATGTTAAAACCCTAAGTATTTATCCCACCACTCAACAATCCTTGAAAAGGTCAGAGATTCGGCTGGCTCAGATAAGGATTAGAGCTAAAGATCTGAATTTAGATTTAAAAAAAAAAAAAACTCATTCAGGAAGAAATCTCAAATATCTTTTAAAAATATGTGTATCATGTACTCTAAGGAATACATAGAACCTATAAAAACTTGACACTGATTCTGACATGTTCTGGACAAAATAATGTTTTTTTGAGGAAGATATCCGGTGATTAAACGTGGGATCTTCAGCTTGAAGCAAAGTGTCAAAGGGTGTAGTGGGAAATGACAACTTCCCCAAGACCCAAGGAGCTACGTGCCAATGCTGCTTTATTTCTGTGACCTTGGGTGTCCTTGGTCATTGAGAATTCACCTGAAAGGTGAACTGCTCATGCTTTAAATCTAGAAATCTGTACCAGCCAGCTTCCAAAAATGAATAAAGAAATCTAGAAATCCTAAAGGTTTTGAGAGTTTCTATTATGAAGCAAATCAAGTAGACTCAGAGCTGAGAGACTGGTGTCTTCACTACAAAGAGCATCTCAGGCCCCACAGATCACTTTCTCTGAAACATGCCAGACCCAGAACATCATCATATGGCTTGGTCACTTACTTTTTACATTAGGTCTGCTCATACCTGACTTGTTTTCTAAATATCAAAACCCAGACTCAGCAGGTGAACAACTTGCTACTAAGGATAATAAAATAACCAAAACAAAACAAAACAAAAATAAAGATGGTCTCTGGAATCAATTTTTCAAACCTAAAATTATGTTGCACAATGGTAGCATCACTGCAATCACAGAGAACCTTCTAGGTGACCACTTGAAGGAGGCCAGTCTCATTTGGGTGGTAAGTTCTGATTTGCAAGGATAAGTCTCATTGAACCCAGAGTGGAAACCAGTAAATACTTCCTTCACCTACAGACCATAACTGAGGATCCCTTCCAAATGAAACATTCTACAGCAGGGCCATTACGGCCAGGGGCTGTACTGCTGCATTAGTGAAAGTAAGAGGGATTATCAGCTGCCTTAGACATTGACAGGAGTGTCTGTCAGAGTTCAAGCAAACGTAGTCATGTTTCAACATAGGGTCTGAGCTGTAGGCAGTCAAACCCATACAGTAACTACCAAGTCACATTATGGCTTGCATTTAACACAGCTAATGCCACATCTTAGAGCACTTCAGAAAATTTGAATCAATAATTTTGACCTGTGGTAGATTTCTACTTAATATACAAATATTAAGTCTAAATATTTTCATCATATCCACTGTAAATTTTCAAAAATACAAAATATTCTTTTTATGTCCAATGGGAAATTGAAGGGATATAGAGAGATGGCTTAAATTATAAAATATCATCAGATTTTGATAAGAGCCACTAACACTGTTCAATCAACATAGAATGGAGACTTATTTCTCAATTCCCAAATCTTATTCCCCAAGTCCCCCTGGATACATGGGCTAGTGAAGACAATAAGAATGAGGTTCAGCAGAGCTGCCCTAGAGCTCATCAAATCCAGCAGAAATAGAACCACCAAAGGGAAATGTCAGCAGGGTCAAGAGACACAAGGTCATCATCATCTCCAGCTGAGATGCGGTCACTCTCAATGATTCACTCTACGGACGACATGGCTGGGGACTGCCTATGATTAAGCCACGAGGGGACACAACCAGGTTCTTTCCTAGGTGGGAGATTCTTACCAGAGGAACTTCTTATTCCCAGATGAGTCATAGCAGCTGGGAGGTTGCCCACACTATTTCCCACACTCATGCTACCGAAGAGGTGGTCACTGGTATCCAGGGAGGCTGGCAGCGGTGCCGAGTAGTGGAGGTTGGTTAGATCTGGCAATGACCCTCCAGTATTCAGGGTCCCCAGAAAGGGTGAGAGGCCTACGTTTTGACCATTATGTGGAAAAGCACTGAAAAAAAGATAAGCATTACTTTCTACAATGCATTTGGCTGTTGGGAAATAGGACATCTATGATACCTTTTCCTTGTCAAATAACAACAGTAGATATCACAGACTGAAGACTTAGCTCTGCCTCTCCCTTGTTCTGAGAACCTGGATCCTTGGCTTAACCTCTCTGAAATACATTTTACTTACCTATTAAATTGAACTAATTGTGTCACATGACCACTTTACAGGAATATTTTCAAGATCATATTAGATTATGGATGCAAAAGTACTTTGAAAATTATAAACCACTATATAAAATGTGAGGCACTGCTTTATACAGTTCTTTTTGCTAGACTTCTAAATTATCTTTCCTACAAAAAAAAAAAAAAAGGTATTTCTGGGCAACTAGATACCTTCCAAGATATATTTCTTCAATTACAGTCTTCATGAACTTTAAAGTGAGAAAGCAATGTCACCATTCATTTATCTAAACCTGTTGCTGGTCCCTGTGTGCCAGGCATTAGGCTAGGTGCTAGAGGTATAAGGATGAATGAGCAAGGTGTGTGTATTTGTGGTCAGGCCTGCCCCTTATATTTGTAGGCCTGGAGTACAAACGGAGGCTCATACACCATGTTTCTGTTTTGACAAATTATACCTTCATAATAGCCTGGAAAGCCGATTCAAATGCAGAATTCTCAGACTTCTTGGGGTTCTGTGCTAGAACACACAGGGAGAGGCACCCTGTTCCTCAGTCCGTGCCCTCTTCTCTTCCCACCCAGCCTATTCTGTACTGCAGTGCACACATGTAGCTATCCCAGCCTGCAAGGCCAAAGCTCTGTCCACACCCTGCACCCCCCTTGGCCACCCCTCAGGCCTAGGGGATGTACACTGATGGTGTGTTCCCCTGGGCCCCTTGGACTCCATTCTCCATGGGAGTGGGGCCATCTAAGGGCAGGGCCCAGGGAGGAGCTGCCTAGCCCAGGTATGAGGGGACCCCGTTCTCGGGAGTTCACAGACAGGTGGGAGAGAGTGACTGGTAAAGCAAACAACTGCAATATGGTGGGAAGCATGCTGTGCCGGGTCTGATAAAGGGTGCGTATAACCAGTAGCTACAGGAGCACAAAAGCAGGACTGTTAATGTCAGTATGGGTTGTGGAGAGGAATGCTTTGCCGAGGACATGACACTCTGTGTTCATGGAACTGAAAGCAGCTGACATGGCCAAGGTGTCAGGTGTCAGGGCAGAGTGTAGAGAAGGCAGGGTAGCAGGAGATAAAGTGGGAGAGGCAAGTGAGTGAGAAAACAAGAGGGAAGATGACGTGCTGTTCTGAAAAGTCTGGATCAGAGACTGTAGGAAAGAGGGAGCCCATAGTAAGCTAGAAAATGACATTTTACAAATGTCACTGTGGTTACAGTGTGGAGAATGGTGTAAGGGACCAGAAAGTGAGGCAGGGAGAACGAATTAGAGGCTCCTGCAGTGGTCCTGGTCAGATCTGGGAAAACAGCAGTGAAGTTGAAGAGGAAGAGAATGGTTGGAGAAGGCACCATTAGCCAGGAGAAGGGGGAAGTAATGAACATAAATGAATAATGAACACTTAATTCAATACAGCGCATGTCAGTAGGGCACCTCCCAGGTGCCAGCCACTGGCATTATGGCCCGTAAGACATGCAGACAAAGCAGGGAGACAGGGCCATAAAGAACATAACTTCCAATATAATTCAATTCAGTAGTGCAATGACAGAGTCTAGTAGTACACGGTGTGGAGGGAATGACCAGCAGGTTGCAGGAGGCTTCATGAAAGACATCTGAGCAGAGTTTGAAGGCTAAAGAGTTCAGGTGATCTAGGCAGGATGATCACTTCAGGCAGAATTCACAGCATGGGCAAAAGCAGGGAGGCGTGAATCTACACAGTGCGCCCTAGGAACTCTGAGGACTTAAGGCACCACAGGAGGGTCAAGTTCAGGAGGGCTGGGTAGTGATGGGAGGTGGGACTGGAGAAGCAGGCAGAGAGCACCTGAGGCTGGTGTGCTGATGAATATAATAAGCCAGTGAAAAGCTGAGAACAGGGGAAGACGTACTCAGCCCTCCATAGGACAGTGTGGCTAAGAGACTTGAAGGAGGGGACCTGGGACACAAGGAACACAGCCTGGAGGCAGAGATGTGAGCTGTCAGACAAGAAACCATGAGAGAATGGGGTGGAAAGGCAGGGATGGGCTTGAGTATTTAAGGAAGGTTTCAAGAACAACTCCTGCATTTCTGGCATGGAGACTGGTGCAGCCACCCACTAAGCTAGGTAACACGGGGGTATGTGAGTAGGTAGGGAATATAGGCAGAAAGACAGTGGTAGGAATGTCTCCCACTTAGTTAAGCAGAGGAGGTAACTGACATTCTCAAGGACAGTTCTATTGGAAGAGTGGAACTGGATGTCACGCCACGGTGGGTCAAAGAATAGACAAGCAGTATGGAAAACTCAAGAGTAAATACTCTTTCAAAAAGTGTGGCTGAGAATTCTGGAAACAAGAGAGAAGGATAAAGAGGGGAGAGAGGCCTTAGAACGGCCAGTGGGGATGAAGGCCAGGAAAAGGATAAAGTGGTCCACCTTGGATGGGAGGGACGCCTGTGTCCCTGAGAGTAGGAGAAGCAGATGACGAAAGGGGAATCAGCGGAAAGCTAAGCATTTGTTCCTGATGGCCTATCTTTTCTTCTTAAAAGTAGGAGGACTGGGATAAAACTGCGGAAACTTGTAAAGAAATGGGGCCTTAGGAAAGGTGTCCAATTGGGTGAGGAAGAAGGATAATTTTGGTGGTAGAAAAACTAAATGTGACTTTTGTCTTTCAGATGGCTGGATGTATGGAACTGTAACTTTATAGGGTTAAAGGTCAAGGACTAGAAAAATAAAATTGAGACCTCAGAGATGCCCACTGTGAGAGCAGATGGGCTTCCTGACTGAGACAAGACAGACCCATGGATAAATGCAACCAGGGTGAACCATGGTATTAGTAACATTGGGGCTTCCTGACTGAGACAAGACAGACCCATGGATAAACACAACCAGGGTGAACCATGGCATTAGTAACATTCAGAACATTTTCTCTGCAGTTGAGAGAAATAAAGTGGTCACTTTCCAAATACAGTCACTACCTACTGGAGTCACCACTGGATCTAATACAAAGCAGGTTATGTTCTCCCCGTTTCAGAACCTCCAATGATCCTGATCTTCTCTGGGTCAGATTCAAGCTACATGAGCCTCCCTGTGCTCCAGGCCTGCTCCTGCCTCAAGGTCTTTGCACTTGCTGTTCCCCCTGCCTGGAACCTTCTTCCCCTCACTTCACTCCAGATTCTGGTTACATATCATCTTATCAAGGAGGTCTTCCTTGACACCCATCTCTCCTATCTCCTGACTTTGCTTTCTTTTTCTTCATTGCATTTAGCAGCACATGACATGCATCATATTTATTTGCTTATTTGTTTCTGCCTATCTCACTCCACTAGGGCATTAGCTCCTTGAAAGCAGGGACTTGATCTGTTTCATTCACAGTTCTACCCAATGCCTTGAAATAGGAGTCCATAAATATTTGCACGAATAGGAGTCACTGAACAGAATTCTACCTCTAACATAAGAGCAGGAAAGCAACTTCATCTAAGAAATGCCTGGTTCAAAACTCTGTGGGGTACTGCAGCCCAATTCTATACTACAGGCCTTCAGAGCCTTGAGACTCATTTGTCTGAGTGTTAGGCCAAAATTGGTTCTTGAGGAAAATCTTGACCCTATCCATGGGCATGTCCTGCACCCCTGGGCAGACTGGTCATCTGTCCAGCCATGGTGTGTTTACCAAGTCAGTTGTGTCATTCTCAGACATATTTTATTTGGCACTGCAGTTATGTAATTTAATTACTTTAAACAAATGAAACATGAGTACCAAAAGAAAGCAGTTGTTTTTATGAAAATGCAGTTGACTTTCAATTTGTACATAGCAAGTTAAGTTTCTCAGAGTTCTGTGACAAAGCAAGAAGACTTTCAGGAAAACCTTCAGGACCATCCCTGAAACACAAAGAGAAAGCACATGACTTACTTGCCACCTCCGACATCACAGGATCGAGGGCGCCCTGACAGGGACTGAATCTGGGAAGAGACAAAGAAAGATGAGCTTACTCACTATAAAGCCACATTCAAGTTTTTGAAAACGGTCTGCATACGGCTCTTGGGGCTCCATTCAGCACAGGTGAGAGCCCACACATGTACACAGTGTCCTCACAGAGCAGCCATTTAAGATCTGACGAGACTTTTTAAACTCTTGAACTTCCAGGCATAAAGGAGGCATAACATTAACAAATTTTCTTAATTTGATGCATTATCAATTTATCTTCTAGATAAATATTATTTCCTTCAGAAAGACCAATGTTTTACATATAGAGGTTTTAAATAAACATTCCTCTTCCAATTGGCCTCAGAGGAAAAGAAGGAAATAGAAAAACAAAACAGGGTGAAGAAAGAGGAAACGAATGTCAGAGTAAAATAAATATTTCAACTAGAATATAAGCTCTGGGGGGCAGGGATAAGTAATGCAAATCCACAAGAACTCAGGGAGATGACACCTCTTTCCCGAGAGCGCAGCCCTGGTACTCAGGGAAGAGCTGGTGCCACCACCCTCTTTGCTGGAGAAGATGTAGCTGTCCTCTGAGAAAAGCCTCCAAAAGCACTCGTGCCTCTCACAGCCAATGAGAAACAGCGTGGCTGCTTCTCCTATGTTTAAATATGTGTACTTTAAGTCATATCTCTCTTTACACCCCAAAAGGTTAAATATTGAACACACAGTGCTTTTACAAAAAAACCTTTCAAGACCACTCCATGCTAATGGTGACTTTGGTAGACTTGGCAGAAGAAGATGGAATTGGACCAAAGGGACCCTAAACAGGTGGGGCATCTTAGTGCAGGAACGATACAAGCAACCAAAGAGCATCATTAAGGGCTGGAAGAGATGAACTGTTTTCCTTCAAGGCCAATTCAGCTTCCCTATGGGAAGAAAGGCCAAGTCAAGTACTGCAGTACCGCTCTCTCTTCCATGGTGGGTGAGGTTTACAGAGAGCCAAGGTGGAGGTCAGCTAGCACAATTTTAGATACAGATACTCAAAGGCTCATAGAAATCACATTAGAACAAATGACCTGTTTACTGATTTCTGGAGGACTCAGGTCAAATGCCCTTGATTTTAAAGAAGGGTTTAACTGCTTTATCAGTAATTCTGGACAGAAGCTGGAAGACTGGTAGAAAGTATTGGCTACAAAACTGAAAAATGTGCCTATGACTTATAACCAGGTTTCAGAGCTTTTGGTAATATGAATGAGATATGGGGGACTTAGGGTTTTTCTGAGTGAGTAAATTCACAGCAAATTAGGAAGTTAAGAGATCACTGTACTAAGTAATGGACACAGTTGTAATAAAATTTTTACTAGAAACATCATTCCCTAGTATATTCTACCTATCTCTGTCCCCAGACAAATTCTTTCTTCCTTTTTTTCCTAGTTCCTCTCATTTTCACCTCGGCAGGATTTTACAACGACCTCTGAAGTGTAAACATCCAATAACAACAAGCATAGTTGAGTACTGTTCACCTACCTCCTTGGCCTCCCACAGCTGTTTTGGCAGTGGCTTTGGAACATTTAATAGATTCTCTTCTTTCAATGGGCCATGGAAAGACACTACTAAAGGGGAAACAAAACAAAACAAAACAAAAAACCCCCCAAAACCCAGCACATTCGCTGCATTAGAACATAGCCATCCTACCTTTGGCCAAACAAATTATCTTTGCAAAAAAATGATTTATTTAACAAATATTTATTGATTCTTTACTGGTGCTTTGGGCATTCTTGTGGGTGTTGCAGAGATGAGTAAGACATAGATTCAACCTTTAAAGAATTTATAACCTAGTTGGGATAAGGGGAACACATCAACAACCATCACTGAAAAAAGAAAATAGTGGAAGCTCAAGAGAGTCAAAGCAGCAGCACTGCTCACGTGCAGAGTAGGAAGAGCCTGGGAAGGTTCTGGACGTGGGCGCTGAGAGAAGCCCTTTAGAGACACAGGAAAAGGACACTGCAAGAGAAGGGAAAATAAGAAAAAAATGCCTACAGAGAGGAAATGCTGGACAACTACTGAGTAGAGCATCTATTCTCAACTGGAGTGCAGGCTAAGTAAAGAGGAGTGGTAGGAAATAAAATTCGGAAGTTTGAGGCCAGATCAAGGAGAGCCCTGCAAGCTTGGCACAGGAAAGAATGGAAGATGGATGAGCAGAGACACACGATAGTCTAGGAAAGATGAAATGAGGACAGTAGCGAATGGTGAAGCGGGGTATTACGTGGGAGACATGGTGGCAGTGAAACTACTTGGGCTGAGAGTGAGGGATAAAGAGGAATCCATAACCCGAGGATCTGAGGCTGGGCAGCTGATGGGACCCCTACTGGCTCTTCCATGCTATAAAAACAACCAGGCTTTGTATGAAGGACCATTCCAGGGATTTCTGCTTTAACACGCTTAGTCATACCAGGTGAAACAAGAATGCTGAGCCACAAAACAAGTGCAAACGTTTTGTTCTCAGAGAGAGCCCAGAAAAACAAGTGCTAGCCCCTCAGGAATTAAGTGATCTGACGTTAGGAAGGAGATTCAACATTAGAGACACTGGTGACAGCTCAGAACTAGGAATGCTGGTAAATTCTGGTGACCACATAAGCTCCAGTGTGATTGTCATGACTGTCCTATCTTAGCCCCACACAGGATGGCCTGCTTATTCAAGGAAACAAGATAACAAAATTTTGGAGTACATTCTGAGAAATGGATGTGAAACAAAGTCTCTAAAATAAGTTTGTGTTATTTTCTATTGAACAAAACTTAGGATATAATTGTGAACTCCTAGAATGACTTAAGTACGGATGGGGATATAATTTCTCTGAAAGACCGTAGGAGCACGACACAATGCTCTTCACAGTTGACCTTCCCAGCACCATCACAGCAATGGTCATTTCTGCAGAAACAGTACAGACTTCATCCATGTTCCCAGGGGCCTCTCTTAACCCTGATATTCGTGTCACTCTCTTTTGGAGAGCTTATTTTGTCAACATCCTTCTTTTTCTTTTCTTCAAATGTTCCCTGGTCTAATAGTTAATACAAACTGCTTCAGAAATGTAAGCTCCATGAGGGCAGGGCCTTTGTTTTATTCACTACTGGAGAGTGCTTAAAACAGTGCTTGGTAGGGCCGGCCCGTGGCTCACTCGGGAGAGTGCGGTGCTGACAACACCAAGGCCACGGGTTCGGATCCCATATGGGGATGGCCGGTTCGCTCACTGGGTGAGCGTGGTGCTGACAACACCAAGGCCACGGGTTCGGATCCCATATGGGGATGGCCGGTTCGCTCACTGGGTGAGCGTGGTGCTGACAACACCAAGGCCACGGGTTCGGATCCCATATGGGGATGGCCGGTTCGCTCACTGGGTGAGCGTGGTGCTGACAACACCAAGTCAAGGGTTAAGATCCCCTTACCTGTCATCTTAAAAAAAACAAAACAAAACAAAAAACCCCAGTGTTTGGTAAATGCTGAGCCTACAGCTGAGTCTCAACAAATTGGAGGACAAGAAAAATAGAGCTTGAGAACCGTTATAAACCAATACAATGGGAAGTCAAGAACTAAAAGACTGCTCTGAACGGTACTATTGGATGCTAGGAAAAGTCTCTATTCTGAGTGAGGTGGCTTCACGACTCAAGGTTACTTCTCTTCTCGAAGGGTTGGTTACAAGAATGTGGTTGGGGCAGACTCCAGCCTTAACAGGGATGGTTTTCTTAGACAAGTTCATTGTTTTTAGTCTCTTTTTATATACAAGATTTGTTGGGAATTCTTCAACGAATTAATTGGGGGAACTGAAGCCATTTCTTTATTTCTGTCCTAAAAGGTTAGATGTTTATTGATGTTTCAACTTTTCATGATTTTATTCATAACCTGGAAAAGGAGTACAAAGGGTGATAGTAGGGAATAGTAACTCTGATGCAAGATGCTCTCCACTGATCCCATTCCCCATGAGTCTTATTTCTATGACATACAAACCTAAGCTGTGCATTTTCAGATATGAAAATTAAATTTCAGATTATAAAGATTTAGGAAAAAGGGACTGGAACTGAATGAATAAACTATGTTGGACATTCACTTGTCAAGGGGTTTGAGTGTCATTTTGGCAGATCTCCAATATTAATTTAATTGGCTTTATGAAACTCAGCATCTGCAAGATTTGCAATTTCATTTTGCAGTCAGTCTGCATTTTCCTCGCATTGTTTATTTACATCTGTCAATTACTAACATGCAAAGACTTTCTAAATGGATAGAGACAGTGTTGACAAGGGAAGGATATTGGAATAGCTAACTGTTTAAGTGATCAATTCGTTCATATTTTCATGTGATCACAACTTTTGCTTCCTTGCACAACCTTGTGACCATGGGACTGGGGGAACCTGGATAACATGGAACCTGTGTAATCTAATCACATTATTTCCTTTCTCATGGCCTTGATCACAGCTAGTCTTAATTTTCTAGAGCACCTCAGAAAAGTAAATGCATCAGTGGTTGTCAACGGTCTGGGGAGTCCTGTTGAAAGAAAGTTGTATATACTATAGTCAGCATCTCACTCCAACATACGTAGGTGAAACCCGTTCATACCTTCCCCATGTCCATCATTCTCACCATCACAGAAACCTAGTGGGAAAGAAAGAAAAAAAACACTTTGATGTAGTGCTTTCATTTTCATTTATTCATGAATTAGTAATGTTCTGATTTGAAATAGAATTTTGAAAATTCTAAGGCAGTTTTGATAGACTGATGTTCATTCAAGATGCTTTTAGCATTTATACTAATAGATGTAGCTAATTTGAGTCTAAAGTTGGTTCCTATCTGCTTTTCTTTTCCTCTAAAATTGTCTGTCTTAAATTTTCTTACTTCCTCTGTTCTGAGAGAAAAAATTTTTACAAAGTCTGAGATCCTCTATTCAAATCACAAAGTAAACAAGTATAGATCGAAATTCTCTTCCAAACGTTTTATCACAAGAGGAAGGGCAAGTAACTCAAAAGTCTACACCACTTTTTGACACTTACCATGGGGTCTATAGGAACAAACTGGAAGTTACTATATGTTGCTACACATATTTATAGCAGAGTCAAGTTATTTTAAAAACAAAATGTACCTGGAGTCTAAGTCAATTTAAAGGGTATATGGGATAGCATTCACATATATGACTTGGAATAAGTCCTGGCTGAATAAAGTGTTTTTAATCCATAAAATATACTGCAGATGACAAAGTATAGTACTTCCTTTTGCTGTAAGCTAACAATAAAGATTTGTGCCAAGAATGTAATATTTTACCATTCTCCCTGGAACAATCAAATACACCAAATGAGTTCTCAGTATAGAATCAGGACAAATTTTTAAGTTCTAAACCTTTAAATAAAGCTTGCTTATAGTTTAGATAAGTTTCTGGATAAGGTTAATCTATAAGTTAACCTGAGTAGTCCATAAAACTTAAATGAAATGTCTAATCATTCAACATATATTTATTAAGCTCCTGCACTCAATGGTAGGTAGGTGAGGCAGGGTGATACAGTGTAAGTGAGAAGATAGAACACGGTAGCAAATTCTACAATACAGGTAGAAAGAAGATATAAAATTTTAGTGGAGCCAGGAGCAGGGGTAACACTGAGAGTCTCTAAGAGCACTGAGAGGTCAATCAATTAAGCTTCACAAAGACAGAATTTCTTTCAGGCCCATGGAAACAGAATCTAAGTTAGTGATGAAAACTTTATTTTAGTGTACATAAAGACCACTTGGGTAAGCTTGCTAAAATACAGATTCTTGGCCCCAACCCTCGAAGATTTTGATTCAAAAGAAATTCAGAGAATTTGCCAAGGAATCTACATTTTTTAATAATCATCTCGGGGACTCTATTGTAGATGGTCCTTGGACGGGCTGTAGGTCACTTAAGCAGTGACTCCACACATCCAAAGGAAGCTATGCAAACAGGAGAACATTAGGAAATGAAGCGCACAGAGAAAAAAAGTGTGCGGCTACACTCAGCACTGCTAGGAGAGGAAAGATGCTTCAGATTCCTATTTTGGCTTCCCTAGGATCCTCCTTTTGGGAAAGGGCCCGGAACCTGACCCTTCTGATCACTAAAAAGTGACTAAATTATTAGAAATTGTAAAACTAAGTTTGATACAGAAATGTGAATGGTATGTTGAAGCATCTGTTCATCATCAAGACAACAATCACTGTAGGTTTAATTACTAAGGCTGGCCTGTCCCTGGAATATGAGGACTCAGCTAAGGGCTACCACGTGGAACTGCCTGAGTGGCTAGCAGACACCCCACATGGTATCCCACTAGTGCTACCACCTCCATCAGACTGGAACAAAAGGAAGGCTTCAGGGAGGAGGCGGCACCTGAGTCAGGCACTGAAGGATAAGGATGAAGATGATTATTGTTGGCTGACTTTGTTCCAGACACTTTATACAGATGATCTCATGTAATCCTCACAGACACTCTATTGAGGTGGGCACTATTATCATCCCAAGATCACATTGTGTAAGTTCTGGGACTAGAGTTCTGGCCCGTGTGCATTCAGAATGTCCACGTCTCTAACCAGTTTGCTGTGCCTGGAGGGATTTAGATAATTGGAAGTGAGGTTGAAGGGGATGCCCTAGTGCAAAGACAGGAGGAGAGGAGGTAGGAGGGAGGGGGGAAGGGGTGAGGAAGGGAAGGAAGATGTGCGCAGCAGGGGCAGGGAATGGTGTAGCCTGGCTGCAGCACCAGATGGGAAGAATGGAAGACAAGGCAGGATTGAAGGAGTCTGCCAGTAACTTGGCATGATGTGGGGAATGGAAGGTTTGGGTTAGAAAAGTGACACAATTAGAGTTAAGCTTTAGAGTGACTGCTCTTGCAGCAGAGTATTAGATAGAGTGAAAGGAGAAAGCCTCAAGTCAGGAGACCAGGGAGAAAACCAACACAACGGTCTAGACAAGAAGGAACACAGAAGGGTACTGGCAGTGCGGACAGAAAACAAGAGACAGATCTGAGATACACTGCAGGCACAGAATGAGTAGGATGAGGCTCCTGAACAGGTACGAGGGGCATGAGAACCAGAGTAATTAAATACAACTCCCAGGTTTTGCACTCAGGTGACCAGATGGATGGTGGTGGCGATAATTGATACAGTAGCACTAAATTAGCATATAATCAAAATATCCAAGCCTGGGTTTTACTGCTAGATAAAAAATATCACAGGAAGGCTGGCTGGTTAGATCAGTGGGTTAGAGCACAGCCTTGTAATACCACGGCCATGGGTTCAGATCCCTGCACCGGCCAGCCTCTAAAAAAAAAAAACCAATAAAACAAAATTTAAAAACCCCAGAGGAAACTGCTATAAATAAAGGGTTAAAAATAAAAGGAACAAGTTGTGACGGACATCTGGAAAAAGAAGAAATCAATTCACATCAGTCCCTCAGGGGATGGGACAGTGATGACCGAGGTTGCATCTGTGTTCCAGTAAACCTTGCTGCCTCAGAGACACCGAGGGCTGACATTTCCTAACCAAGCAGAACTGAGACCATGTACTTCTCTGCACTCCCATGCCTGACTGCTAAAATAACTCCTCGCACAACAGTCTGGGCTGCTAGGGGAAGACAAGGGGAAGTCCCTTACCCAGAGTGCAGCCTAACAGAAGCCTCTGGTGTCTCAGCTGCTTCATTCTGGGCCCTCCTGCCTTCTGGGTGACACTCTTTTTGCCTGTCTCTAGACCTGTGATGCTTGCACCCCCCCCCCCATTTCCTATCCATGTCATCAAGTGTCATTAACAGGTTTACGTATTTCAGGGTTATTTGCATTTTAAAACTTAACTCTGCAGGTCAAACCTTCTTGTGGCTGAAAGGTCACTGAGGTCCAGGACACATGACCCCCAGATCCCAGAGGACGAGCTGAGGATTGTAGTCCCCAAAGATGGCAACATTCAGCATTTGCAGCTCTGGGTGCGGAGAAGACAACTATCATATACTCTTCAGCCCTTGGCTCTAGACTGCTCCCTGAAAGAGCATGGTCCAGCCAGCTCCCTGCTCCACATGCCAGTGATGAGAGGAGGGGAATTAGGGGACACTCCTAAAGGCTATGGGACAGGCCAAGTGTCACAGAGAGGCCTTGTGCTTGCCCGTCTACATAAGTGTGTGAAGTGGTAATTAAACTGCACGTGCTGCCAGGGAAATGATCAACATTTCTCTTTATAGATTCTGGATAATTAAATAAGAAGAGAGAAATTATAAAAATCTTGTTTGGTTGTATAAAAGTTTATTTCTGTCACTTATGTGAACTGCTTATCATTTATGCCTAATTGCCATGCAACTCAATAACCATTATGAAAATTACTAAACGTATCAGGCTAATGGCTCGCTCTTCTAGGGACGCATACCTCTGCTCACGAATGTGTCATAGTTTATTGCTCATGGAGTTAAGCTTCTAGCAGATGTGCTCTTATCATCTGCTCATGACAACGACGATGACAAACAGTGGAGCTACATCACTGTGCTCAGGAAAGATTCCCAGGGAAAGAACAGTTATTATTCTTCTATTACAGAACCTAGTTCTGGGCTTCAGTTATATTTTCCCATCACTTTTTAAAAGTTGGTCCTATAATAAGAAATACCTTTTCTGTAAAGCTCATTGATATTTTTAAAATCCAAAAGGAAAGAAAATTAAAAACTCTAATGAATTACATGGGGAAAATACATGAAACTATTTAAAATAGCTCCCACCAACAAATATAATTCTCCAGAAATAATTCCCATCCTTAGAGACTTGAATAATATTTTAAACACACTGGCTTTCCCATGTAAACACGTCCATATTTGGATGTGTTTCTGAGTTCTGCCATACTTGTAAGATCACTGCAGGAGCAGGCACACAGTTCAGACATCCCAGCTGGAGGTCAGCCCACCTTCCATGGCTGGCAGATGTTGTAGCCCAACAATTTCTAACTGATTTGAAAAGGAGAGACCACCACGATTCCAGGTCAACCCAGGAACCCTGCTCCAGGATTTCTTTCTTATTGCTCTTCTCATGCTGTCTACCTGGATCAACATTTACATTCTTTTGCTTTTCTTACTAATCCTCACACCTTCTGACATTTCTCACCTCTTCCCTCAGAGTAGCTACATCCTCTAGGTATAAAGACTTCAACTCAGGTAATCACCTTCTTTAGTTACTTTCTTTTTTCTCTGCATGCAAACTTCAAAAATTCCTTACTTAGATTACCTATGATTCCCTGATTCTCTCTAGGCCTTTGGCCCTTTCTAGAGAAGTACAGGCTTTCCACAGAGGGCAATGTGAATAAAGGATGGACAGAGGCAGAAATGCAGGGGCTCCAGGGTAGAAATCTATCAATCTGCTTTGCTCCCAGTCCAGGGAGACTAAGATCTTGCTGCAATCACAGGCACCCCCACTGATTACAGTCCCTGCTTTTTTAGGCTTTGTTTATATATTCCCATCTCTACCTATCCTGAAGCTAAACTATCCCTCTGCCCACATACTCTGCTTCTCTAAGCAGGGAGCAGTGGACCCATATCCAATTCCAACATCACTGCCACTTTACGCTCATATTCCCATGTGTGGAAACATGGGTGGATGTCCCTAACTAATGCTGAAAGCTCTCATACTTTACAAGCAAACACTTGTGTAGGCAAATGTAGTCTGTGAATTGCATCAAGGGAACAAATACAGCAGTGATTATTACTAAATCCCATCCTTACTATATGCGAGGAAATAGGATCATGAATGTTCTTCTTGGAAGAAATGGAGACTATTTCAGCTTTAAATAGTCCAAAAAGTAAAGAGATCCAGAAGAGCTGGTATCTTGGCCACAGATTTACTTATTCCCATTTCAAGACCAACACACAGCCCTAACAGTGTGGACAAGAGACTGTCTGCATATGGACTGGATAATTCAAAACCATTGTTCTTTCCAGGTTATAAATCCCAGCAAGGCAGGCTTGGAATGTATCTGAATGGCTCAGCCTCATTCATGTTCAGGTTAGATTTGGCCAGTTAGTTCACTTGGTTAGAGTTTGCTGCCGGTAACACTAAGGTCAAGGGTTCTCTCTCTCTCTCTCTCTCTCTCTCTCTCTCTCACACACACACACACACACACACACACACACACATACAAAAACCCTTCTTTTTCTACCTCATACTGGAATAGAAAATCATTTTAAGGCTGGCCGATTTGCTCAGTTGGTTACAGCATGGTGCTGACAATACCAAGGTCAAAGGTTCTATCCCTGTACTGGCCAGCCACAAGAAAAAAAAGATGTACAAGTTAGACATCAACACCTAGTGTATTTTAGTGAGTGCTCCGTATGTGTGAGCCACTGTGTGATTTCTCCCCACTTCTCCTCTGTGCCCAGCACTGTGCTGGGGACTGGAGAAAACAAGACCATTAGATGCTGTCTTCAAGAAATCTATCCTGGGGCCGGCCCGGTGGCGCACTGCTACAGTGCGCCGCTTGGGAAGTGTGGCGGCGCTCCCGCCGAGGGTTCGGATCCCACATACAGACCGGTTCCCGCTCACTGGCTGAGCGAGGTGCGGGTGCAACACCGAGGGTTGTGATCCCGTTGCCGGTCCCGGTCCGGTACGGGCGCGACACTGAGGGTTGCGATCCGTTGCCGGTCATGAAAAAAGACAAAAAGGAAAAAAAAAAAAAAGAAATCTATCTTGAGCAGGAGAGAGGCATGTCCACATGAAAAGCAGTCATGTGTCACAGGTGCTAAAACAGTCATCTGCCTGCAGGAGCTTTGGGATATTAGGAGAACATGTGTAATTCTGAACTGAGACGGAGGAAGGTCAAGGATGGCTCCACAGAAGTAGGGATACAAGCTGAGACTTACAGATGGAGCAGGGGTTGGCCAGGCAGGCCAGGAGTGAGTTAGGAGAGGAAGAGATGGGGACAGGATGCAACACCAGGAGAACTCAAAGAGGTTCACATGGCTCTCTGGCGGAGTGAGGCTGGGAAGCTGGGAGAGTAGGAAGGGGTGGCGGGGCTGGATCCTGAGGCTAGTGTCGTTCTAAACCAAGGTGAAGGGGTGTCACCGAAGGTTTTAAGCAGGAGACTAAGATGGCCAGATTTGCGTTCCCTCTGGAGGCAGATGGCATGAAGTATCGTGGGTATGCCTTTCCCCTCTCCTGGGCATTCCTGGCCTCTCTCCACCCCTTTACTCACTTGGGACCAAGGCAGGTAGGATGATGATCTAACCGCACAAGGGGAACAACTTAGAAGGAGATGGCCGGCTCCAATTCCACTCCCTCTTCTCCGTGGGCTGCGCCTTCCCTCAGAGGCCAGGCCTCCTCCTCCACTCTGCCCTGTCTCCAGTCTTACCTGAGTACTCCTCCCAGGGGACCACCCTGGCCAGTGCTGCTGGCCACTGTGGAAGGTTGCCTCCTTCTGGGGTTCAGTCATAATATGCCCATGAACACAGAGAGAGGCCACTTCCTCCAACCTGACCTCATTAGTAACAAAGGTGATATTTAGGTCTATCTGTCACTTCTGGTTTTATCACTCAGTTTGCTCAGATCCTGGGTTGGAAAAGAGGACACTTCAAGAACCCAACATAAAATTGGGTTGGAGGGACATAAGTCTGGAAATCAGGAGACCAGTTAGGAAGTTATTATAAGAGTCCACATGAAAGATGATGAGTGCCTGGAAAAGGGCCAGTGCTGTGGGGGAGAGAAGGAGGCTGTGGGGCCCAGAGCCAGCAACAAGGGAGATTTGCTGTGAAGAAGCAAGGAAGAGCGACATGCCCCAGTGAGCTCCGGCTTAACTCCATCATGAACACACACTTGCCCTGCCACGAGCTTCTGCTCTGAAGACCACCAAACTGGGGAAGTATATGCACCATTTAAGCTCTTCTCTCTCTCAGTTCCTACAGGACAGAATGAGAAAACACAGACGCTGTTAGCAGTGGGCCTGTGTGTCTTACCCATGTATGGGGCAGGCCAGACCGACTGGCCCCCTCCTCCATAGGGGTCCTGGGGCTTGGTGCTCAGAGCACTCGTGTGAAGAGCAGAATCAGAATTGGTCCTAAGAAGGGGAGGAGAGAGTCTGGCTGAAAATCCATTGTTCCTTAGTGAAAATGCAACGTTCTTTGCTGGATATTACTAACAGGAAAGAAGGCAAGAACAACCTTCAATAACGATTTACAATCACCCATAAAACGAAGGGTTAGGACCTACCTGAAGTCCCTTACGTCAGTAACAACGTCTGAGGATTGCCAACACCCAAAAAGTATTTTAATTTGTGCTTGTATAGCCTTACACTTTGAAGCTGATGGCACAGTGATTTATTTCAACAGAGTGGGCCTCAGATTCACAGCATCCTCTAAAACCTTCCTATTCCTACTGGCACCTCAGAAGATGGTGTGACCAATGGCTGTACTAGATTTTCTCCATAAATCTTCCTTTGTGAAGATCACCCAGAGCAGTGGTTCTCAAACACTTTCAGGGAGAATGCAAGGTCAATACTATCCTCAAGATAACACTAAAGTGTTCTTTGACTGTCACTCTTCCTCTCTCATGAGCACAGCAGGGCTTTCCCAGCAGCTATGTGACCTGTGATGCTACCACAAACCAAATGCATGAGCAGAGAATCCAGCTGCCTTCAAGAGATTTGTAAAAGGCATAACAATGCCACTATTCTCAGTAAATCACTTGTTTTGGGAAATATAACTGTGTTTCTTTTTTAAAAAAGATATTATGTTTACATGTAATGGTCTTACTGTTATTTTAAAATGCATTAATAAGTATCTTTTTAAAATCTCAATTTAATTTCTAATATCAAAAGATAAATATCAATAGATACAGGGCATAAACAAATGCTCTTTGAGGGCTTCAACATTTTTTAAGAGTGTAAAGCAGTCCTAATACAGAAAGTTTGGGAGCTGCTGATCTATAGCTAATTTCTGAAATTCTCCCAGAAAGCTCCAAGTTATATACAATCTCAGCTCCGAGAGATGATTATCTCATCCGAGGGTCAGACTGCCTGCCATAAAAAGGACTTGGAGCAACTTCAAATTAGCCTAAAATGTTTCTCTATGGTCTATTCCAGGTGACGGTCTCATGTGGCTGCTAAGCCATGTGGCTTCAGATGAGGGAAGAAGCCCATCAGGGAAAACCTGTGTGGTGTAACATAATGAGTGTAGGCTTTGGGATCAGAGAGACCTGGGTTCAGATTCCAGCTCCTTTATAGAGTCAAAGATCCTCAAGAGAATATCAATCAAATGCAGAGAGACAACTGGGAATATGTGAACATAGACTGGTTATTAAATCATATTAGGGTATTATTGTTAATTTTGTTAAGTGTAATAATGGCATTGTGGTTACATTTTTTTTTAAAAAAAGGTTTGCATCAGCCTTATACTGTTAGAGATATTTATAGGTGAAATGCTATATCCAGCTGGTTGTGGGTTTGGGGTGGAAGGTGGGGGTACAGAAGAAACAAAACTACAGGATGCTGATAAGGACTGAAGCTGATGGGGGCACAAGGTGCTTCTTATAACTCTTTTATGTATGTTTAAAATTTTGCAATATAATAAGTTATTTTTGTTTTTTAAAAAAATCCCAGTTCCCTCACATATTAGCTAGGGGGTCTTGGACAATGCATTTAACCTCTTAGAACAGAAAATAATACTCCTTCTTATAGGGTATTGTCAGGATTGAAGAAAATGACCTAGGTAGAGCTCTTACTCCTGGGGTCTGGCCCAAAGTGACCATGACAATAGTCAATGTTTATTGAACACCTGTGCTTCCCATGCACGATCTTATTCAATCCTCACAACCAACTCATAGATACAGTTATCCCCATTTTTCAGATGAGTAAACTGAGGCATAGAGAAGTTAAATAATCTGCTCAAGGTTACACAGTAAGAGGCAAACCCTGGTAGCCCCACTCCAGACCTCATGTTCTTACACTGTGCTGTACTGTCTCCTGCAGACACTCAATAAGTGATGTTTTTTAAATTTATCGGTAATAATTATATTTATCCATATAAACACAACTGCCATAAACACACTCTGGCAACTGGATAATATGTAAAGAATATCAGGACAATCAAATTGCTTGGCCTACTTCCACTAGGAATATCTACCAGTAGAAAATCTACTTCTACTAGGAAACAATCCACGTACCTGTTAAGTGCAGACGTCAGCCTGAACCCAGGATGCTTTTCTTCTTTCCAAGGAGGCTGCTGCCTTTAAAACCCAAAAGAACATAAAAGGAAAAGAAGTTCAATATATGGGGAGCAAAGGAGTGCCTCAGGCCTGGGCCGGAGAACTGGCTCTTCTACCCACTAGGCTGCACAACCTGAGCACCGCTTAAATATGCCCCCGGCTGTGCTCATCTTGCTCAGTATTTTTAAAATGAGGTCAGACTGAATGATCTCTCCGGTTCCTATGATCTCTGATTTCCAGGATAAAAACTGCTCAAATCTCTAAGAACAGGAGTAGCCAGCTGGGCATATAAGTTAAGAAAAGTGCAAACGAGCACCCTTGAATGCTTTTTGAAATCATTCAAATCTATGACTTGAATCCTCTTGAGGGGATGTGAGGTCTTACTCCAGAAGTGTAAAAAATGACCCGTCATCACATACCCTGAGTGTGTATGTATAGGGGATGCCTTGGCAATCCTGGATGCAAAAATTGTACATTCCCATATGGATGGCCATGAAGAGCAATATAATTGTTAGTTACCCAGCTTATGAAAATACTAATCTGACTAATCCTAATGCTCTGGAAAGCATAAGACATTTTCTCTTAGATACACACAAGGAAAGTAACAGTTTAGAGATGCATTTTTTTTTTTTTTTTTTTTTTTTTTTTTTTT